AGCAGCAGCAGCCGCACCAGCAGCAGCAGCCCGCACCAGCAGCAGGCAGCACCAGCAGCTGCACCAGCACCAGCAGCAGCCGCACCAGCAGCAGCAGCACCAGCAGCTGCACCAGCACCAGCAGCAGCCACACCAACACCAGCAGCAGCAGTACCAGCACACCAGCACCAACAGCAGCAGCAGCAGCAGCAGCAACACCAACAGCAGCCGCACCAGCAGCAGCACCAGCAGCTGCACCAGCACCAGCAGCAGCCGCACCAGTAGCAGCAGCACCAGCAGCTGCACCAGCACCAGCACCAGTTGCACCAGCAGCAGCAGCACCACCACCACCAACAGCAACAGCAGCAGCAACAGCAACAGTAGCAGCACCAACAGCAGCAGCAGCAGCACCAACAGCAACACAAACAGCAGCAGCAGCATCAACACTAAAAGAGAGCTAATTGTCATATCTCTTTTACAAAAAGAGTCTTTACCCAATCCCCATATTCGTACTTCTTCTCTCTTATCGGCCACATCAAGTCATTATCATGAGAAAAGAAAGATTTCCAAGAGAGATTCTCCAACTCACCTGGAGGATGTCAGTCAACCGCTTGACTTGACTGTCTTTGTGAGCAGCAGACGTGGTGGTGCTCCGGCCATCGTTGTGCTTAGAGTCATTCCCGCCGCCATCACTTCCACAATCTCCACCGCCAGCACCAGCACTAGCACCACTGCCGCGCTTGCCAGTGGGCGAGGTGGAGTCGATATCGGACATGCTGCTATGGTCACTGCCGCTGACGCTGCGTCCCAGACCGCTGTCCGATGAAGTGGAGTGGCTGGCCGTGAAGCCATGGCCATGACTCTTGCTACCACTGATGCTGGTGGCTTTCTGATCGCCGGAATCGCCCGTCCCGCGGTGCATGAACTCAAACGGATTCTCGTCCAGTACTGCCGGCAACACCATGTACAGAAGCTGACGAGCAAAACGCACACACACACACACACGAATAGGCTAGTGAGAACACATGCACACACGTGAGTGTACAACTATGGCCTGTGCAACGTCTATCGAGTGCTGCGACAGCGGCAGAACTTTACATCACATGATATGGTTCAGTAGGTTACACTACCGAACCGTGCAACGTGACGACCGGAGAGTGGCACCCAAAGCAGTGTATCTATCATGCACTGGGTGCAAAAGCCGTGTGCGGGTTTGTCACGCGATGTGAAGTTCTGCCGTCGCAGGCCTCCTAAACTGGGGTAGCATCCTCTTGGGAGATACGTAGTCTTGTCGCTATCAAGCAAGATATACAGCAGTGGCTAAAGGAATCCGACCCGCGGGTCAAAGTAACCTCGCGCCGCATTTCCATGCAAGGTCCAAGAAACCATCTGAGGGCCGCAGGGACAGCACGAGCGCCGGCGCTGCTTTGGGTGCATGGGTGGGATTTCTTTGGGCCATGAATAGAACTGTTACAGGTGCAGTAGACTGCTGATATAACGAACACCATTGTGCAGAGGAATTAGTTCTTTATAGCCAAAGTTTGTTATATCAGAAATGCACTACACTGTGGTTCAAACTGGGACATGGACAACGGTTCGCTATATCAAGAAATTTGTTGTATGCGAGTTCATTATAAGTGGGGTCGACTGTACTCACCTTTGTGACAGGATAAAGGACCTGCTGAAACGCGTAGATCACAATATCCTGCAGTGCCGTCAGTGACTCAGATAGCTCTTGATCGAGTGTAGCTTCGGCAGAGTCCAGTGCTGTGCACCGCTGAGAGAGGACAGTGAAGCGTTTGCGGACGCAGACGCCGGGTTGACGCCAAGATTGCGCAGCAGCCTGCGTGCGCAGTTTGCTATCTCCAGAACGTTGGCCATCCACGCGCTCAGCTCTTGCAGGTCATGTGACATGGTGTTGAGCAAGTGCATGGGGTCAGTGTCACTGAACCAAGGTGAACACACACACGCATACACACGCACACGCACCAATGCACAAACACACACACACCATTTGACCATTTGACGCCCATCGCCGGAGGCAATGAAAGCGATGCTACAGCAGAAGCCATAGCAGCTTATGCTGGGATTGCACCATTCAACAGCTTGCAAGGCTTAAGAATTGACCGCCACTATTCAGCCTGGTCTACGCCACACAGCTATGAAGTGGCGTTTTCTGGCCAGTGAATCCCTACTTTTTGGTCTTTTTCATTTTTTTCACGAACACACACACACACACGAGTAGCAAATCAACACACACCGCTACCTCAAAACAATCCGGAGTCTACCTCCCCTAATCTGGACGTCCCTAATCCGGGCACGTCCATCTACTGAGCACCTTTATGATCAATCTACTTCAGAAGTAAAAAAGTTGGCTTTCACACTTCGACGAAAGACGGCCCCAAACACTATTGGTTGGCCTATTCCTAGGTACGCGAAGTGCTCGGTCTCAACCTGCCCGGATTACTGGAGTTTTACTGCTACGAACACAGACAGCCCATTGATTACACACTCACAGTGTCAGATGTGCCTTGTGGTCGTCCAATATCGCTGCTGTTTGCTGGGAAAGAAGGCAACCAGAAAACATGCCCACGGGCACACACACACACGCACATACACATACACATACACATACACACACATACACATACACGCACATACACATACACATACACATACACATACAAACCCACGCACATACACATATACATACACATATACATACAAACACACACATTATGGTCCCGAGGGAACAAACACCCGCGTATGGCCCCCCATCCGAACAAACCCAAATATGGCCCCCACCGCACACACACACACACACACACACAAAGCACATGGTCCAGAGCACACATGCAGGCACTCGCAGGTGCGCGCGCACACAAGCATGCGGTGGTGACTGGAAACCGCCAGCAAGTAGTCCCAAAGTAGTCCAGTGGAAGCGATGGAAAATCGGCGGTGAGAACAGCCGTGGCACGTACACGTACATCGAAGTACATATACATCGTATAAAAGTTACTTTCAGCAAAATTATCATTTTGTGCACCTACATTCCATGAGCATGCATGTGCACATACAAACATACAGAAACAAGCGCACCCTCCTCCTAACCAAATACACACACACATACACATTCACATACACATAACATACATACACATACATGTACACACATGCACACGAACGCACGCATGCACAGACAGACAGACGGATGGGCAGACAGATGGACGAACGGACAGACAGACCACCCCACACACACATGTCGGTGCCGCTACATCGACTACTGAGTTCACTCACCCACACTACGCCCTGCAGCGCTTCACACGCCTTGCCTAGAAACGCTTCAGGTACTGCTTTCTCGCCGTGGACAGAGAAGACTTGCCGCTCGCCGCTACTGCATCCTGCTCTGCTGCCGTTGTCGCTGGGTTGAACCTCACTAGTGCCAGGATAATGGCTGCGGATGGAGATAAGGGATTAGGTAGTGAGCTAACGTCTGCAGTAGTCAGCGTCAACTGCACAAAGACATCTTCTTCTGTTGGATGCCGCTAAACACTAGAGGCATAGTGCGAGTCAGACTGTCGGACGGTGTGCTACCACCACCCTGCTGCTGCTGTGGGTCAGAACCGATGGACACCGTCGACATGCTGACCGACTTGCGCGACGATGCTGATGATGATGATGTCGTGATGACTCGTGCCGAACGTCGCGACGATGATGTTGATGATGTCGCCTCGCTGGTTTGCAAGGACGGGTCATCGGCCAACGATGCAGTCTGCATAGAGCTACTGGTTATGTCGGTCGTGGTGGACAGAGTGCCGGCAGCTGAGGTGAAGTCCGGCTGCGGCAACCACTTCCAGCCGTTGCTCAGCGACAGCGGCTGTGACGGGTCACGGAAGACGAAGACGTGAGACGTGGCCAGGTGCAGTAGATCTCCATCGCGCAACACCAGCATACCGGACACCGGTGCACCGTTCACTGCCACGTGAGCCTCCTTGGCCGCGTCCAGAGAGAAGATATCGCGCCGGTCCTGCATCTTGGCGGCGTTCAGCGAACTACTACTGTTCCTACTGACCTCCGTACAGCGTATCGTACAGTGTAGAGGCAGCAGATCATACCCAGCCAGCGCTATACTCACACTGGTGCCGGTCGATAGCTGACCAATGGACGTTACCTTGTCGATCAGCGGGTACACGAGGAGGTTCTTCTCCGGTTGGGAGCACGACAGTGTGACGAGGAACGGAGTGCAGAGGTTGTCCGTGTACACACCCGTGAACTGCAGCTTGGACGGAGAGTCGCAGAAGCGCTGTACGTACGTCAGCTGCGGCGTCACCGCCCGACCACTGTCCTCTGCTGGCTGCTGCTGAGCCTGGGGGGACGAGCTGCGCGACGGAGTGCCCGACGAGAGCCGGTACTGCGGCACGGCGTTGCGACGGTGTACGTACATGCGCCGCTCCGAGCCCATGTCCACCTGCCAGAGGCGCATCAGCACCTGCGGGTACTCGTTGGGCGCCACCAGCCGAGAGTAGCGCGGCGTGAAGCGCTGCGCCACGTTAGCCCAGTCGGCGACGCCATCGTTGTATTCTATGACATCGCCGGACACGCAATGGTACCATTCCAGCGCTCCGATGGTCTCGTACAGCACAAAGTCGTCACAGCTCTGATCGTAGATGAACAGGCGCTGCAGCACCGACTCAATCACATCTCTGGCCACCGTGTCGTCGGAGGCGAACACCGTCTTGTAATCCGAAGCGCTCTGCTCTTGCAGGCCCGGCCCGGTGTACACCCGCATGGAGTTCACGGCCGACGCGCTGCTACGACGACGCTCCTCGTCGCCATGCCAACTGCGCCGGTTGCCGGCACTGCTCTGGCGGCGCATGTTGCGTCGTAGCGTCTGTATGAGACGGCGCGGCGTGGTGGTGCTGGTGCTGGTGGCGTGGCTGGGCGAATGCATGCTTGTCCCCGCGGTGCCGGTGTACGCGCCACCAGCATTGTCGCCGGGCATGATACCAGCATGGTGATCCACGCTACTACTGCTATCCGACACAGAGTCCGCATTGATGCTGGACTGGCTGAGGCTAAGCGGACGATGGCCCACCGGGCTACCGGAGAGCGGCAGCGACGAGGGCATGACGGACAAGGTGCTCATCGTCGCGGCAACCTGCTCACGTTCTACTGACAGCGACTGGCGGTGCTGGGCTAGGGCTGCCGACGTCGTCGTCGTGCTAGGTCTGGGTACGAGTACACCTTCACCGCTACTGGTGAACAAGGTGCTGTCCGTGTCAAGGGAATCTTGCGAGGTTGTCGTCAACGCTGCTGTCACAACGTTAGAGGCAATTGCCGACGATGCCACGAGAGTTGTTGTAGTCGCCGCTGTGGTCGGGAGAGATGCAGTGCTGTCGCTACCGACCGTACTGAGAGCAGTAGCAGATGATAGGCGGTCAAGGTGGTCACCAGCAGCACCACCACCACCACCACCAGCAGCACTAGCAGCACCACCAGCACTAGCAGCACAACTAGCAGCAGCACTAGCAGTGGCAGCAGTACATTCTACAGGGTCTGTCTGCCGTAGCAAATAGCGGTGCGGGGCGTCGGCTGCCGAGCGGAACGAGATCTGCAGCGGGTACTCGTCGTCCTCAAGACGATGCTCCCCTGCAATAGAGTTTGGGCAAGCGGATGCACGTACACACACGCATACACAAACACACACACACACACACATACATGCATACACACATCATCATCATTAGCATCAGCATCACAACCACAACCGGGGTGAACTACTGGTGTTTATTAAAGTGCGGCTTATACTCCGAATAATGTACAGCACATTTCTGTCAAAACCCACTGCTTGCCATATTCCTGCCAGAGGTGGACAAATAGTAATAAAAGCGTCGGCGTACCGTGACGATCGACAATGGCGAGGTAGAAGTGGCCAGGATGGCTTCTCAGACGTTCGTCGATGCAGGTCGAGAACTTGGGTAGCAGCAGTGGCACCAGATCCAGTGCCGATGTGGTGTTCTGAACCCGTACAACTTTAGCCGTCTCTTGTCCTGATGGCGATGTGTAGTAGAAGCGAAGAGCGCCTTCGTAATGTACACCCTGCAGCAGCAGCAGCAGCAGCAGCGGCGGCAGCAGCGGCAGCAACAGCAGCAGCGGCGGCAGCAGCAGCAGCAGAAGCAGAAGAAGCAACAGCACCCACAACAAACAACCATCAATGACCAGAAATGGGTGCGGTAAGGGCAAACACTCCGAAAAATAAGACACATCTGAAAGTAGTGCTTTCACCAAGATTTCATTACAACAGCTCTATTATAAAATCCAGACGTTTCCTCTTTCCATAGGTGAGTGAGTGATGGAAAGACAGAAAATACTGAGGCGAATGACACGTTTGGGCGTCCCTTCCCCTCCCTTCCTCCAACCATGAACTACTCTACCCGTTCCTAGTGTTCGACACGGCACTACACGTAGGCACGCCTGCCCGCCCACATCTACACATCTCCAAGAACAATGTCTGCTGCACATGCAGTGCACATAGCACATTCAACACGGCTACAGATAACGACCAAAACGCTGACTGACCGATGAATTCTACAGCACTAACACGGCACCGTTGGTGGTAGAATTTCAAAGTCACGTGCGCACGGGCACACACAAAATGTAATGACGGTGCACACACAATGCGTATGTGTGTGCGTGTGTGTGTTTCCATAGGTAACTGTCTTGGCCGTTTTATGCCGATGTACTCCGTGTGGTGTGGACCAGGTGTGCATAAGTGGTCGATTCACATGGCTTCGCCAGTTATGTGAATTAGACAGTTATCTGGCGCAAGTCTTGATCTGTCTCATTCAGATCTTGTTCGCTGCCGTTGCTATAAGAGAAAATCTGTGGGTGCACATCCAGTGCATTTGCAGGTTTGCGTGCTTCTCTTGCGACGGACGTATACATGGTACATGGTGGTACATGGTGGTACATGGTGTGTTTCCAAGTACCTACATACACATAATTGCGGCCAAGCCGTACATACGATCGATCGACTAACCAGCTGACAAGCTAAGTACAGGTCTACCCTCGTTGGTACGTCATCGGTCACAAGACAAACATCTACAGTTGACAACGATCAAAAATCCCCTGACGCCTGAAACGCATACATTCACGTCCGGATATCGGATACAGTCAGACCTCGCTTATCCGGTCCTCCTTTATCCGGTTCCCTCTCCATCCGGAAGAAAAAAAGGTGGTTACTGTTGTATTATGATGTAGATTTACAGCAGACGTACGTGTTCCATCCAACATAACCAGTCACGGTTCAGTTCTCCGGTTCCATCGCCTACCCGGATATTTTTGTGGAAACGGGACGTGTGCGGTTAAGCGACGTGTGACTGTGGTAGATAGTACTCGTTATAAGACAAAAAAATCTGAACCCCCCCCCCCCCCCCCGGCCCCCCCGGGTTATCTACTAACCAGGGTTACCTAGATCTGAACGCTGCGGACAATCCTTACATATAACCGATCGACTAACTACCTGACAAGCTATGTACAGACCTTGCGCTGGCGGGGACGCTCTTTCGACCGACTACCACCGCCCGCTCTGGTCGGAGAGGTAGCGCTCGCTCCGGCGGCGTCCGTTTTTGTGGCGACGTCACGTTCCCCGTGCGACCAGGTCTTGAAGCGGCCCTTGCCGCGGCTAAAGATCCTCGACGCCGACAACATGGTGGAGCGCACAAAGCCGACGCCGCGTTTCCGTCTGTCCACATGCCCGCGTTTCCCAGCCTGGCCGTCGTCGTCGTCGTGGTCGCTCAGACGTGTTGGTGTGGGTGCTGACGGGTCGTCAACGAGTGATGAGCCCGCTGTGTGTTTACTTACTGCTGATGTAGCCGCCACTGACAATCCGGGTGTTCTTTGCTTTGTGAGACGGCTTACAGGTGCCGGAAACAGTGATGATGATGACGATGACGCCGGTGGGAAGGATTTACGGGATGTTGTCGCGTCGCGCGACCAGAGCACCCTGCCGGTGTGCGGATAAGTGTGCACTGATGTTGCCGCAGCATGCGCCGTCTCGCCGGATGGAGACGGGTGTTGTTGCCGTGGTGATGCGGGCGACGTGGCTGCAGCGGCAGTCGTTGCAGAGACGGCAGTTAAAGAACACAATGTATTGGACTTGCTGCTGCTGCTGCTGCTGCTAGTGGCAGAGTCTGCGCTGGTTGGGACCACGCTGCTAGCGACAGCGGAGGTAGGTTCAGAGACGGCAGAAGTGGTTGTGTGAACATGTACGCTGCTGGTGGTGTTGCCGTCAGCGCTGGCTTCCCTGCGGCTTGTTGCGGGATCGTCGGCCGCACCATTGCTACCATCGGGGTTCGTGGACCTAGTGTACGCGACACCGAATGCTCCGTAGCCGTCAGTACGGCGTAGTCCCTCGTGTTCGCGACATTTACTCATTCTTCAGGTGGCTAGAAGCGGACGATCACATTCCGGCATAGGTACAGATCCATCAGCCAAGCTGTTCTAAGACGATCAGTACCTGGACCGCCGAAAGCAGTGTTGGATTGGTCCAGCCAAACCATAGTCTTTCGTACAGTTTGTGTAGGGTACAGTGGGTAAACAAAACAGGACCTCCTCAGCAGTAATAATAATAATAATAAAGATGCATTGGTCTGAGTACTCTGACAGTCGTATAGAAGGTGCTACTGGAGGTGTGGCAGGCACGCACTTTGACTCAGTGTGCGGATCCGACGGTCACTGGCGCAGTACAGCAGAGTCGACACCCACTCCGTCACGCTCGCATCGCGTCGTGCGAGACGCCTTCAACCCCGGCAATGCCATGTGTCATGTCCGCATCGCAACTCCGGCCCAACGTCCGTATCCAGAAGCAGCGGAGCTCGCGATGCCACGTCTTTCGCCAGCCGACGCGCGTAGCCGTGCTCTATTCTGCGATCCGCTCAGCGATGGTGTCCTACGAGGGAATGATTATGTGGACTCCGGAATTCGCAGCAGCGCTGGGCAAACTAGAGACCCTGGCTCACAACTGGGAAGTCGACAGAACTCGGAAGAAAGACTACGGAAACGCGGAGAAAACAAACAAGTACTCATGTACCGTGTAACTAGCTTCTTGTTACATAATGAACATGTCCAGCTAATCGTAATGCGGGAGATGACGGACATTTCGATCTTGCCAGCAGCGTGAACAAAGTCGATCGGTCCGGTGAACCGAGCACGCGTGCACGCCGCGCGTCTAGCTAGCTAGGCCAGGACACATGCATACACACGTACATGATCAAACATCAAGCTGACATTGACAAGCAGCTAGCTACAAAAATGTACTACTACTAGTCTACCCATGCCACTACAGCCGTAGATCTACAACAAATACATGCACACGATTTGAGATCTACATCTACATGTATGTATTAGAGGACTATTATGACTTATGTACGAGAATCTCAAAACAGAGTTGAGTTGAAGCACTTCATTTGTCACCGGCACTGTGTCAGACCTGCCATGCCGGAGATCCGGAAGATGAGGACCCAACAAGTACCACGACAGCCACTTATACAATTAATGACATGACTTATTGTAGTTTCTACCTAGTACATGTACAGTAGATATTGGTTATAACGTGCCCTTCTGATTTTTCACATTTTATCACTATACTAGTAACCGGTATATCACTACAGGCGATTTTCAACTGCGCGCGTCATACATACACATTATACACGTGTGGGTACTCGATCGCGCTAATGAGTAATGTAGCGTACTGATACGTGATGGATGCTACCAAGTAGGGGGGTTATGTACTCTTGATGCTACTGCACCTTCTCCAGTCTAGAGTGTTGAACTTCTTGTCCCAAAGGCATCATCCAGGAAGCACCAGACCAGAATACCCTATGACAACACACATGTGGCTCCAAGTCGAGATATCAATGCCTCACACTCGTGCGTTGCTATCACTATAGACGATAATTTTTCTGCACAAAGAGGTGTTTTGAATGGTGATTCTGTGTCCTTATAGCCGATTTATCGCTATATACGATATATTGGTTATAATGATAATTTGACTGGCTTTTTCTGGTTTTGCTTTTGATATTTTCATTTTGTATCAATATAGCCGGTTTATCACTATGTCCGATGACTTTATAGCCGATATCCACTGTAGTAGTCTGCAAAAAGTAAAGAAGTGCACGACCATTGACATTGAACAAGTAGAGTGAATTAACTACCTGTCTAAGACGACTGCTCAAGGCCAAGGGACCTTCAAAGTGCGGCCTCTGTAACCAGGTGGTCTCCTTTATATCCAGGGTCATTTGACTGGAAATAGCATCCCTTGGTCCTGGCTGCAGTGGTCATCTGGGACAGGTGGTCGCATTATCCGAGTGGTCGCCTTGACAGGTTTTACTGTAGTTATACGTAGTTGCGCTTCGTTGCAGGCACATTACTACAGTCATTAGTATCATTACATGTACCATCATATCAGTGATTACCGGTCACTGAATGACTAGCCGACTGTCCTACAAAAGGGGTGGTATGATTGTACAGCCAGAAACACAGCACAAAGTCTGAACCACACTCGTCTACGTCGTGGATCTACTCCCGAGTCGTGGCGTGTCATGTCGACAATACCGCATGGTAGCGATTGAAAATCTGTTGTTGTGGAGAATCTACTCAGTCTATGATCCAGGATCTCATCTCTTGCATCACGTACAGGCGTCCCTCTTTAATCCGGCACTTTATAAACCAGCCGATGTGATAACTTTCGGTAACCAAAACGTCCTTTTCATGTACATTGTAGCAGAAAATCAGATTTCAAGGTTAATCATCCCAGCTGAGCACCCTCCCTAATCCAGCAGAATTTCCGTAGCACAAATGGTGCCGGATTAGAGAGGGACCACTGTACTGAGTCAGCTAGTTTGTTTGTTTCTTTTATTTTACTTATTATTATTATTATTAATTCAACACCTCCTGGCTCGTCAGAAGACTGCCAATATTATATGAGAAGTCGGGTGGTAGCCAACCACGGCGAACTGAATAATATTAATTATTAGAATCAACTCGTAAAAACTCCAAGTCAATCTCCTATTGACACAAACCTCGTTTATTCAACATAATCATATCTTATCCAATAAAAACAGTTCGTGCCCTATCAAAAATTTAATAATAATAATAATAATAAAACATTAACTGGTTTGAGGGAAAGAGACAAACGGGAAAAGTCTGAAGAAAAAATTGACTGTCACCACCAGGACTCGAACCAGGGACCCTCGCTTGTAGCCAGCGATGCTCTAACCACTGAGCTATGGTGTAGTCGTCATCCCAGCAGAGGCCGTTCAACATTTTCTTCAGACTTCGTAACTCACACTTCCTGTGAATCCACACAGGCGGGTGGGACGCAGCCCTCACTGTAACCCACACACTTCACGTACAAACTAGCACGCGGGGAGCCCCAAGTCATAAAATATTAACTGGTTTGAGGGAAAGAGACAAACGGGAAAAGTCTGAAGAAAAAATTGACTGTCACCACCAGGACTCGAACCAGGGACCCTCGCTTGTAGCCAGCGATAATAAAACAGTTCATAAAACAGCTTTTTATGAGTGGACCCAGTCCGCATAACCAAGGGCATGTTCGATTGGTAAGGATCGGGATCGGGATCCAGATCTCAGATCCCTCGGATCCTTCAGATTCAACTGAACACTTTATTTTGGACCTTGACTGTTGCCATGTTGAAAATGGCTCTCACAAGGCACCCAAAAGGGTGAACGTCGTACTCATCCCGTGCGTCGTACAAAAAGTCAACAAGCTCTATCTCCATCCACGTGTGCGTACCACAATGTGTACAAAAATGATTTTTACCCTCCATATACGCACAAAGATCACATTTGGATCCGTTGGATCCGGTCAACCCTGCTCCCCGAGGAGGGTTGACCGGATCCAAATCCGAAGGATCCGGATCCGGATCCGACCAATCGAAAGGGTGCGAATCCAGTGGATCCGGTGGATCGGGATCCCGATCCTACCAATCGAACATGCCCCAAGGCCGTGATCGTTTGGTCGGATCCGGATCCAGATCCATCGGATCCACTGGATCTGCAATGATCGATTGGTCGAATCCGGATCCAGATCCTTCGGATTTGGATCCGAGCAACCCTGCCCCGGGAGCAGGGTTGACTGGATCCATCGGATCCAAATGTGACACGGGACTTTTGTTGACTTTTCGTATGACGCGGGCGATCAGTACGACTTGTGCCTTTTTTGGGTGACCTGTCACTGTCAGCGCCATTTTTTACTTCATCAACATGGCAACAGCCAAGGTCCGCAAAAAAGTGTCGGTTGATTCTGAAGGATCCGACGGATCTGAGATTTGGATCTGGATCTGGGTCCGACCAAACGATCATAGCCCAAGAGAGCTAGCTTCCTTGGCTGCTGTTGGAATATGCAAGAATGGGCCTTCCAGATAAGGTCTAACAAGGAGAAGTGGCTATAGTTATGAAATGAACACTGGTAACCATGGAGACAGACCACACTCTCATTATAGATACTGGTTATAAATAGACCGAATAAAGAAAATGATCTGATAGCCTATGAAGAGTAAAAGAAATGAATTGAACCAATGACAACAAATACTCGTCCAGCACACGAGTTGTCATAGCAACACAAATAACAGCTGTCCACTAATTTTGTTGTTGGAGATTGAGTAGGAGTTTTTACTGGTTGATTCTAAATACAATAAATGCTCCGGCCTTGGGTTTATGACCAATAAAAACTAATTATAAAACCTCAGGGGACCTGGGTTTTTATAATAGTTTTTATTGGTCATAAACCCTCGGCCTCCTCATTTATTGTATACATAAGGAGAGAAACAAAGAGAGTACTGCAAGGGGAGGCATGACGAAAATGGTGAGCACCAGAAGCACAGGCAAAATCTGCCTTCTCACTGGGCATATTGCCACAGTTCTCGCAAAATGATGAAGCCTTGAAGGAACTAGATCTACGTGTAAAACTGTATGTCGAGCACCCAGTCAGTCGCGGCCAAAAGCATCAGCAGCAGCAAGAGCAGCAGCCACAACAAGCACAACAACAGCAGCAGCAGCAACAACGCCAACAACAACACCAGCAGCAGCAGCAGCACCAGCACCAGCAGTCGCCGCAGCAGCACCAGTGGTCACCGCAGCAGCACCAGCAGTCGCCGCAGCAGCAGTAGCAACAGTAGCACCAACCAGTTGGAAGCACAGCAGCATGATCAAGAGCAACAGCAACTTGGGATTGGCGCCACAATTAACGACTTCCTGAGCGCGAGTCGTGGCCTGTCCGCTGCCGCTGCCGGCACACCTGTAACCCCCCTTCACAGCCACAAACGTTCCTCTGCAGAACGGTCACCAGATTCGCTGCCGCAGGATGCAAAGCGAGCTGACCAGCATGGTGCGCAGCCACCCCAGCAGGATACACAGACCCACGAGCCCACCACCCAATGTAGGCCATGCACCAACCCAAACAACGCCAACGGTCACAATGAAAACTAAGGCCCCCTCACTCCGTCTTCTGCTCACGAATGCATTCAGCATTTACAACAAAATGGATGAGCTTCAGCATACTCTGAAAAGCCTGCATGTAGACATCGCTGTCGTCACCGAGACCAAACTATCGCCCGACAAGGCTTCAGTTGCGGAAGTCTCAATCCCTGGCTATTACCCCCCAATACGTCGAGACCGGACAGCGCAAGGCGGCGGAGTCGCCATATGGCTGAAAGAAGGGATGGCGTACAAACAACTGGACATCAACTCTGAGTGTGAAACTCTTTGGATTAGTGTTGCTGCACCGTCAGGCATGAAATTTGGCATCTGTGCTGCCTACAGACCTGGGACGAGTGCAGACAGCGACTGCAGTATCTTCACCCAGCTGGAATCTGACATCGACAAAGCCCGGCAGTCCTGCTCACACATTATTGTGGCAGGGGACTTCAATGCCCACAACCGGGAATGGCTTGGAAGTCCACGCACCTCGGCTGCTGGAGAAGCTGCAGAAGACATGTGCTGTGTACATGGTCTCCGACAACACGTCACCTCAGCCACTCGTGGAGAAAACATCCTTGACCTCGTCATGTCAGATGTGCCTGGAGCCGTGTCTACCACCACCCAACCACCTCTTGGCAGATCAGACCATGCTGTTGTCATAGCCGACTTCCAGCTCACTGCATCCGTAGACCAACCCACCACTCGTACAGTATGGCGATACCAGCGGGCTGACTGGCCCCGCCTCTCTGCCTTCCTCCGGACTACTGACTGGGACACAATAATCG